CACCACCCTTTTTTGGTGGTGGTCCCCTCCAGAATTTCAAATTAGGTGAACGACCTCTCACGCTCGTCCCGAAAATTTTAAATTTCAAGTGGCGATACCAGCTCGCCCGTGTAATCCGACCTCATCCCATCTTGGAAACAAAAAGTAGCGTACTAAGTTACTAACCATCACCGATCCAGGCTAAAGATTTTCACCTTCAGGACCCTTGCAATTAATCGTCAAGACACCAAAAAAAATGATGACTGTGCAATTGCCAATTGAATCGATACATAACCCCCGTTGTGCTTTTACCTCACATATACATCGCAAGCGTACTATCTTGTGAGTAGCATACAAAAGACGGACACATGAGCAGTAGTGGCAGACGATCACGAGGAGAGAAGACGAAACGTTTCCTGCTCCAAAGGTCACACTGCCAACTGCCTCAAGAGTCAAAAGCAGCAGCAAGCTCGCAAACCGTCGTGGGAGCATGCTGCAGGTACTGATCATCAGCTCATGATCCTCACACACCAAACCATTCCCTCCCCCCCATCCAATCGGCAGCTCGTGCCCCGACGCATCAGCATCGTCCCCCAAACTGCCAGCAATCATATCGTAAGCACCAAGAACTCACCTCTTCGAACAATGGCGCTACCCCTTTCTGCACGTCCGGGACCGAGTGATAACCTCAAGCTAATCCGCTTCTTCTCCTTCTCACATACAATCTCTCTGGGTTGATGTCCCATGCAGCGTAATTGTGTAGCGTACTATATTTTCAAAGACAGGCTGTTTATTCCCTGCCCATGATAAGCCCATAGCTTGCTTGGCTAGTCTGTTCGGCCAACGGAGAGAACATAGATTTGGCCCCAAAGACCGTCAACTGGACAGCACTTAGATTTGGCCGCAACGACTGCCAAAGGAAAGATAACTGAAAAGTATAAAAGTATACATAAATAGACGAGACGGCCGCAGCATCACCGCCTCAGGAAAGCATTACGACTAAGGTAACCGACAGGACACGATGAACCCACCTTCAGTGTCGGCTTCGCAAACCGTCATGACAAACTGGCCTGGCTCAACCATAAAAAACAAGGCACACAACACAATGATGATTGCGCTTTGCTGAGAGGACTCCTGTGGCAATGAATAACACAATGGCGAAGGGATACAAGGAAAACTTACAGACTCCCGTTGACTGTCAATTTATTCCATACCCCCCACAGTTGATGTCGATGTTCAAGACGCCCAAACATTCCTGCGAGTGTCGTGATGGAGACGGCTTGAAACACTTGGAAAGTATGCCTGCCTGCCTGAGGAGACGAGCGATTTACGCCTCGTATACATAGGGGTTCTTACGGTTAGCGGCTCTGGGATCGTAGTAGCAATTCCCCGACATGAAATCTGCACCAACATCCCAACAGGACTTGGAATGAGAATAGCAACTGAATCGCATGCATGTGCTGACAGCAACTGAATAGCATTGCCGGCACCCACGGTTGTTCCCTTTCGGATAATGCAGCCATGACCTACTCAGACATGTCATCGAGCTTCCACATGTAAGCAGACGAGGACGAGGGAGGACAACACAGTTGGAAGGAGTTGCATACCGATTTAAGCAGGCAGTCTCTTCCTCGATTCAGAAACTCTACCACGTAAAACAAGGAACTCTTCTAGATCCAAATTGCATTTGCAGGGTATGTGCGCTTCAGCTCCAAAGAAGAGGGTACATACCACACCATAAGTTCAAGTGCCGGCTCAGGGATATCAACCTGGTCAAAGATACTCCCTTTTTTTTGTTTCTTTGTATTGTTACGATCCTGGTCATTTCCCAAGTGCAAATTCACAATGAAAGACAATGCCACCCAATTGCGAAAGAAATGAAAGCACTTGCAAAGAGACAAAGACCAGAGGAGAGGTAAAGAAGAAGAAGAAGAAGAAGAAGAAGAAGAAGAAGAAGAAGAAGAACAAGAACAAGAACAAGAAGTACACCAGCAAGACCAATGACAATTCCCCCTTCTCTCTCCACATTCCTCCTTCCTCCTTCTCTTCACCAATCCTATTCTTCTCTCAATAATAATAATAACAATGAATGAATGAACCAGAATCAATGTCCGAAGTTCCCCCTTACTGCTGACTCAACTCACAACAACAACAACAACAACAAAGTCCACCATGGCCATGGCTTCCCTCCTTCATCCTCCTCTCTCATGCATAGGCCATGGCGGACTACCGGGAGGCAGCTATGATGCTGCGCTGATGTCCCAAGACAACCCAAAGCAGCTATGCCGCTGCTTGACTTGGTCCGCTATGCCTGACTCTGCCTTAAGCTGCTCTGGTGCAGCGCTACCCCAAATGGGACCTTCTAGATGCAGCGCCCAACAAGGTGATGAAGACGGTGTCCACCATAGCCAGGTAAGTGCCCTACCACTCCTACCATGCCCCCTTCTTCCTCTTCCTCAAGCTGGGGTGCTCACCATAGCCAGGCTGAGCCCCAGCGGACCTTCACCTCCAAGCAGCGCTGCTTCAGTCCAGCGCTGCGCTCCAGCAGCATGTCGCCAATCCTTGCATACCGCAAATGAGGAAGAGCTCTCCGCTCTTCCTGAAGATATAGCGGCCTACCGGCCTCCTGGGCGGTGACTTCCTAGGCCAAGCGGCCTCCCAGCAAACCGGTACCTCCTCCCTTTTGGAGGGAAACATCATTGCAGGCTCTGTTAGTGTCCGCACAGGCCCTAGACCCGGGCTACTTGGACTGGTACCGGCCTACCTCTAACCTACCGCTACTGGGCCTCTAAAAAATGCCAACTTTTGTCTTCTTCTGCTCGGCCTACCTCTAACCTACCGCTACTGGGCCTCTAAAAAATGCCAACTTTAGTGTTTTTTCCCCAGCTGCTTTAAGTGCCGTGGGCCTACTCCCGCTACTGGCGTGTTTACCCCCCTGCAACCCTTCAAAGTCACGGCCACAGGTAAGTACCGGCCCGGTGGGCCTTGCAACCAACAAGTACCCTTGCGGGTCACACCACATACCCAACCAGCAAGCACTCAGACAGACATGCAAACCAGCAGGCACGCACACACACACAACCGGCAAGCACTCAGACAGGCATGCAAACCAGCAGGCACGCATACACACAGACKTGGRACCACAGCAGAATGCGGGAATCACAGCAAGGCATTCATTCCAKTGRCAAATCCCAGAARTCASCAGTGTTCTCAGTCTGTGTTTTTGGCGGGTCATTACATTACTCCCCTCTCGAGAGCGAGGTCCCTTCGAGCGAGTAACTCAGTCAGAGTCGGTACAGAACACATCGTAGGAGTACATCAGAAAAAGAGACTTGGTCAATCCATCAGGAGTCATTGTTGCTACGAACTTAGCGGTCTGTCTCTCGGTGATCTGTCTTTCGTAAGCGTTCACAACACGGGGAACACTTTTTAGCAGTTCTTTCCGTTCGATCCAGAAGAATTCAGTCAACGGGTGATAGAGGAAGTGAACCTTATACTGTCTGTTCCTTCCTCTGCCCTCGTGAGATACGATTCTGTCTATCTCATGGCCGCCGTCGATAGGGCGAGGTATCATTGGGTCCCGGAAAGGAAAGGTCTCATCATCAATGTGTGGGAATAGTTTGGACGCATGAAAGACCGGATACGTGCGCAGATGAGGGGGCACGTCAATCACAAATGAAGGGCCAAAGTCGTCCCCGACTACCTTCAGAATCTGCCAAGGGCCGTAGTACAGTGGAAGAAGCTTCCGTGATATGCCCTCTTCATCAGAAAACTCAGACATTTTGACCCAAACTGTTGCATACTTGTGAAACACAGTCATAAGTATGGCGCAGATTCCCAGAGCCGACCAGATAATACAGAGTTGATACAAATACAGCGGAAGGGCATGATACCTTTGGATTGACTCAGACCTGACTCGGACTGCAATCGAACAACTCTCTTACATTCATCAAGTGTGAATGCCCTGGCCTTGAGAAGAGACGAAGGGCCAGGGACTGAAATCATACACGGACGAAGGGGGGAGAGGAGAGAGACGAAGGAGGAGAGGGGAGATGATGTCAACTCAATGTTTCCAAAGATAGTAACTTGAACTGTCACAAGTGACGAAAATCCGAAATGTCGTGAATACCAGGTCTCACAATCTCCCAGATGTCGATCTCACAATGTCAAGTACATCTCCGAAGGAGAGATGGAAATCAGGTCCCGAAATAGTCCTCAACTCGTACTCTCAATGTCGCTGTCTCAGATGTCATCAGAAATCGTAACCATCTTCATTATTGTAGTAGTAGTCCTGTAGGAGAAGTAGACTTAGACCGAGAGGGTAGGGAGAGAGAGAGAGAGAGAGAGAGCCGAGGCAGATGGAACAGAGGGAGAGAAGGCAGAGCCTTCCTCCCGGTAGCTGCTGGTAGCTATGGCGCGGCTGGGCCGCTGCGCTGTTCCTCTTGCCGCTGCGCCCGCTGTCTCCTGGCTGCTCTCGCTGCTGCAGCTCTGCGCTAATCTGCTTAACGCTTGGCTGCTCCGCTAATCCTCCAGACTAACTCGTACATACTAACCTCCCTACTGAGGCTGGTACCCAGCCTTTTGTAGTGCTGGGCCGGCCTCTTGCCTTCCGATACCTACTGGCCTGGACCGTTGATCTAGATCAACGGTCCAGTTTCGAAACTGGTTTGGCGCCTAAAATACGGCAGCCTCTGAACCGCTGCCGGTAGGTCCTAGGTTGGACCAGTACCGGCCTTGTGGCCGTTCGGCCTGGGCCTGCCTGAACCGCCGTGGTCCAGGCCCTTTTGAGCCTCATCTGAACCGGTGTCCCCTAGGCTAATCCTGCCTGTCTTGGAACCGGGCCCTAACTGGGGCCCGTGTGGCTCAGTAAGCCACACACTCCCCCCCTTGAAGGACCGAGCTAACTGCGAGGGCAAAGCTGTCTGTCCGATGTCCGTACAGGGCGGGCAGGTTGGGCAGCTTCCTTAGCAAGTCGCTGTTTTTCATCATGCGCGAAGATGAGGGGTGCTGATGCCTTCAGATCAGCTCTTGCGATCCAGCGTGTGTCATTCGGTGATGAATGATGGACCCGCGGGGTCGTCGCCAGCTGCTGAAGTGACCATCCATGGTCCAAACCACTTCGGGAGGAGCTTGCGCGAGACGTCCTGCTCGAGCGCGAATTCCTCGGAGGTGACCCAAACTAGGTCGCCGGCGCGAATTGGACATGGGATGCGACGACGGTTCGCTTGCTGCTGCATACGGACCTGAGCCTTTTGCATGTTAGCGCGGGCTTTGGCCAGCAGTTCCCTGTACTTCCGTGTAGAAGCGGGGGAGCAAGCGGCGTCTATATCGGCAGCCCGTGGAAGCAAAATGTTTGCGAAGATACGTCCTTTCCGTCCACCGTGGTGCAACTCGAATGGAGTCACGCCAATCGCCGGGTGCACCAAAGTGTCGTAGGCAAACTCAATGTCAAGAAGGCGGTCAACCCAGTCCTTCTGATCCGGGCGGATGAGCGTGCGGAGCATCATGTGCGCAGTCTGGTGCGCACGTTCCGTTTGCCCATCCGTTTGAGGATGCCGTGCGGAGCTCGGTGTCATGCTGGTGCCGGATTCCACCATGAGTGTCGTCCAAAAGGCCGACATGAAACAAGTGTCGCGGTCGCTGACGATGTCTTCCGGAACGTCGTGGCTGCAAAACCAGCCGGTATGCAAAAGTCGTGCGAGCTCGGGAGCCGTCGTATGATACTTGCATGGAAGAAATCGAGCGTACTTGCTCAAACGGTCAACGACCGTGAGAATACCATCATGACCAAGGCGATCGCGAGGGAAAGGACCGGTCACATCCATAGCAATGGAGAGACCTGGTGCCTGAGGTATCGGCAATGGTTTCAGTTCGCCGTAAGGGAGCTGATGGCACCCTTTATTCCGGTGGCAAACTGCACATGACTGAATGTACCGGTTGACGTCGTTGATAATGTCCGGCCAGTGAAAACGCTGGCGGAGTCGTGCTAGTGTGCGTGCGACGCCGAGGTGTCCTGCCAGCCGCGAATCATGGTATTCGCCAAGGAGGCGAGTGCGCAAGATGCGGTCTTGGGGAACACACAACAAGTCCTTGCCTCGCGTATGGAGGAGCAAGTCGCCGTTGGTGATGCGATAGTTGCTTGCCGGCGGTTGGTCCGATGATAAGTCCGCGTAGAGTGTGGAGAATCCCGGATCCGACTTGTAGCCGTTTAYGAAATGTTGTTGGAGGTCCTCGTCGAGGCCGAACGTGGAGTGTACCATGGCGCAAAGATCGGGTCTTCGCGAGAGAGCATCCGCCGCCTTGTTCGAGGAGCCCGAAATGTGCTTGGAGGTGAAGTCGAACTGGTCAATGAAATACATCCACCGACCGATCGTGCTACTCACCGTGTCTTGCGTCTTGTAATATGTCAACGGATTGTTGTCCGTTGCCCACGTGAATCGCCGACGCCCGAGGAGAAAATGACGCCAACGCTTAAGTACGGAGACAAAAGCTAGGAGTTCCTTCTTCCTCGCATCATCAAGAGTGTTGATGGGCAACACCTTTTGGCTGAAATACTCAACCGGATGCCAGTCTGTGCCGTCATGCTGTTCCAAAACCGCACCAATGCCGTAACCGGAAGCGTCCGTAGTCACTTTGGTAGGCAACGTCGGGTCGTAGATGCTTAGGACGGGAGCTTGAAGCAAAGTCGTCTTCAGCGTGTGAAACGCATGCCGGGCCTCGTCGCTGAACTCGAAAGGCACCAAGGGGGACTGAAGTCGTGACAATGGTGCAGCGATGCGTTGAAATCCTTTGACGAAGCGCATGTAGTACGATGCCAAGCCAAGAAAGGAGCGGACGTCGATAGTACACTTGAGGTCCGGCCAATCTTGAACAGCTTGTAACTTGTCCGCGAGCGGACGAATGCCTTGCGGCGTGACGTAATGGCCCAAGTACTCCAGCTCTTGTTGGGCAAACTCGCACTTGTCGCGGTTTGCCTTGTACTTGGCGATACGAAGCCGCTCCAATACGGCGCGAAGGTGCTCGAGATGCTCCTCCAACGACCGACTATAGACCAAGATGTCATCGACGTAAATGAGTACGGAGCGGTCCAGCAAGTCGCGGAATTCCGTTGTCATAGCCGCTTGGAAAGTAGTCGGGGCATTGGTGAGACCGAAAGGCATGACAATCCACTCAAAGTGCCCATACCGCATCTTGAATGCGGTCTTGTACCGATCTCTTGGCTGAATCTCGATCTGGTGATAACCGGACTTGAGGTCTAGCTTGGAGAAGTACTTGGCGCCGCCGAGTCGCTCGAGAAGATCATCGATCCGAGGGAGAGGGCCGGCGTTCTTGATCGTTTGTGCGTTGAGTTTATGATATGCACAACCGAAGGTCCTTGTTCTTCTTCCGGACGAAGAGAACGGGAGCACCGTATGGCGAGCAGCTAGGGCGAATCCAGCCCTTGGCCAAGAGGTCGTCTAGTTGTGCTCGAAGCACTTGAAGTTCCTCTTCGCTCATGCGGTAGATACATCCGCACGGAGGTACGGCGCCGTCCTCGAGAGTGATCCCGTGACATATGGGCCGATCCGGTATGACTCCGGCGGGAGCTTGAAAGACATCCCCATAGCTGTCCAACAGCTCAATGATGCGTGGGTCCAACGTATCCGTCTTGGGCTGATCACCGGGTGGGAGGGCGTGAAGAAAACATATGCCTTTCATTTCTCCCTCATCCTTTCTCCCTCCTCCTTTCTCCCTCTTTCGTCACTTTTTTTTTTTTTTTTTTTTAATGATCCGAACGGCTAATCCAACCCTCCCATCCTCCACGTGTCCACTCGGCACTCCCTCTTCCTCCATCCTCCTTTCTCCCTTCTCCTTCCTCCTCGTCCTTCCTCCATCTCTCCCTCCTCCTCACTCACTTTCTCTCACGACATCGTTCCCTCCTCCTCCCTTCATTTCTCCCTCCTCCTTTCTCCCTCCTTCGTCACTCTTTTTTTTTTTTTTTTTTTTCTAATGATCCGAGCGGCTAATCCACCCCTCCCATCCTCCATGTGTCCACTTGGCACTCCCTCTTCCTCCATCCTCCTTTCTCCCTCCTCCTTCCTCCATCTCTCCCTCCTCCTTCCTCCATCTCTCCCTCCTCCTCACTCACTTTCTCTCACGACATCTTTCCTTCATCCTCCCTTCATTTCTCCCTCCTTTCTCCCTGCTCCTTTCCCCCCCCGTCACTCTTTTTTTTTTTTTTTTTTTTAATCCGAGCGGCTAATCCAGCCCTCCCATCTTCCACCTGTCCACTCGGCACTCCCTCTTCCTCCATCCTCCTTTCTCCCTCCTCCTTCCTCCATCTCTCCCTCCTCCTCTCTCACTTTCTATCATGACAACTTTCCCTCCTCCTCCCTTGATTTCTCCCTCCTTTCTCCCTCCTTTGTCACTCCTTTTTTTTTTTTTTTTTAATGATCCGAGCAGCTAATCCCGCCCTCCCATCCTCCACGTGTCCACTCGGCACTGCCTTCCTCCTTTCTCCCTTATCCTTCCTTCATCTCTCCCTCCTCCTCTCTCACTTTCTCTCACATCTTTCCCCCCTCCTCCCTTCATTTCTCCCTCCTTCGCCACTCCATCCTCCTTTCTCTCTTCTCCTTCCTCCCTCCTTCCTCCATCTCTCCCTCCTCCTCTCTCACTTTCTCTCATGACATCTTTCCCTCCTCCTCTCTCACTTTCTCTCACGACATCTTTCCCTCCTCCTCCCTCTATTTCTCCCTCCTCCTCTTGGGATGCTGTTTCCACTTTTTTTTTTTTTTAATTATATGTCCTCTGGAATGTTGCACAGTCGAGGGGGATCGGAGGGGAGAGGGTGGGGAGAAGGGGATTTTTTTGTCATTCAAGGGCCTGACCGCCATTTGATGTTGTTGCCTTCCCCATGATGTAGGTGATAGTGCCAATGGCGCCCCCTCAACTGAAGCAGCTCATTGAAGACTTGAAGCAGCACTTCAGGGACGATGGTGTTGCAGGGAGGAACCCCCGGAAAGGGGTCCAAACATTGGGTCTGCAAATACTGCGAGACCCGATTCGATGGGACAGTATCAAACTTGAGAACCCACTTCCTGAAGAAGTGCAGCTTGGACCTCCTCACTCAACCTTTGTCAGTTGAGGAAAGGGCGAGAAGGGCGGAGGGGATCCGCATGGGGAAGCACCTCGCGGAAATCATTGAAAAGGGGGGAAGGAATAGTACACCGACGAGCAACTTGCCATCTGCCAGCAGTCTGGTGGTAGGATCGATTGGTGCTGGCAGTCGAATGGCGCGTGTAGGCGGAGCACCATCGCCGATGGTTACTTATGGGAAGTCCGTCCCTACAGCGCCCCGAACAGGTCGACCGATGAGGCAGACACTCATGGAGGAGGCAGACAGTATCATTACTCGTAATGAGCGCACGAGCCGCTTCCTCGACAACTTCCTGTTCTGCACAAACCAGCCCTTCAGTCTTGTTGACAACGAGTACTTCCTCGAGTTCATCGACGCAGTGAAGAAGGCCAACCGTCATGGTTGTCGTACCACAGGGACGAGGCGCAGACAAAGAGGCTTGACGACACGTTTGGAAGGACGACAACAGAGGTGACCGCCATGATCACAAAGTGGCAGGTCATAGGCTGCATGCTTCAGATGGACAGTTGGTCTGACAAACGCAACCGCCCCCATCTAAATGTGATGGTTTCGTCCCCCATAGGGACTGTTTTTTGGAAGGCGATGTGCATAGAGGGGAAAGACAAGGACGCGGCGGCATATTTCAAGATCCTTGATGGAGTCATCAAGGAGATTGGGACGAATGCGGTGGTTGGCGTTGTGATGGACATCGCCAGAGTGTGTGTGAAGGCGGGCAAGATGATGGAGGCCGCCTACCCCCAGATTTTTCGTGTTGGCTGCACTGCGCATGCCCTCGATTTGGCACTCGAGGACATGTACAAGCGGCTTCATTGGCTGGCGGCGGTCGTTGATTCGGGGCATGTAGTCGCTAAGTTTTTCACAAATGTGGACAAGGCGAGGGCCTTGTACGATTCTCCCCAAATTTGAAATTGGAGCGGTCGGCGGTCGCCCAATTCGCCACAAGTCACGACATGTTGGCTTCGTTGAGGAGAGGGAGGAATGCACTGGAGAAGTGCGTTTGCGACACGGTGTGGGTGGATAAGATGGTGAGAGCAGACCAGCTAGCCGCTTTTCGTGAGGTCAACTCAATCATGCTGGGAAGGGAAGGTTTTCGGGACAATGTAGACAAGGCCCTCGCAGTGATGTCTCCTGTTGTGGAGCTGTTGCGCTTGGTTGATGGGCCAAATGCAACATTATCGAAGGTGTACTTTAAGATGGATGCGCTCATCGAGAGAATAACCTTGATTGTGTGAGCCCGACCGAGAAGGCAGACATTGAGGACATTTTGATGCATCGGTGGTCCTGCTTGACGAGCGAGCTGCACTGTGCGGCTGCCTTCCTCCACCCGGAGTTCCGACACAGTGCACTCTCACAACGCGATCGGGAGGTTCGTGCACGGTTCAACATTTGGCTCTATGCGTGGGCGCCGAAAGACGACGCCGTCCTAAGAGAGCTAAGCGGGCAAGTCGATAAGTGGACCAAACTCGGGGGGACATTCCGATCGCGAGAGGCAGCGGATTCGGCGCACGTCGAACCAGTGGCGTTGTGGTGGGAAACCTTCGGGGGGAAGTTGGACATTCTCCAGCCGCAAGCAGCGAAATTGCTTGGCCAAGCAAGCTCGTCCGCAGCATGGGAGCGAAATTGGAGCTTGCATGAGCTCATTTTTGGAAGGCGATGCACGAAGCTTATGCCGGAGAGACTATCGAAGCTCGTGTTCAACAATTGGAACACGCAATTGATCCGGGGCTACACTCATGGCGGCAAGGAGGAGGTCCATATCCCTTTGGAGGATGACTGGCCGGTGGAGGCAGAGGTTGAGGAATGGTACAAGACGTTGGTGGCTTCGGCGGTGTCCAACAATGACAACGCAGCGGACATGCCTGATGACGCGAACGTGGGAGAAGAGGATGGAGGGGAGCCACTCATGCGAACTTGGCAGCGCAATGACGAGTGAGATGACGAACAGTGTGAGGCAGAGTACATAGCCCTCGTTGGGTCCGAAGAAAAGATTGGCACGAGTGCACAAAGCCTGGCCGACACCGGGAACGGGAGCTGCGGAGGAGATCTGGCCATTCGAAAGCATTGCCCTCGATGTTGTACACAGAGGAGGAACGGGTACGGGCGTTGAAGGCACGAGCGGCTGGGGCCTGGGTGCATGATGCGGGGAACGCATCCAAGAGCAGAAAACGTGGAAAAAAAAGAGCACAACCGGATGACGTGGAGGAGGTGGGTCCGCTAGTGAAGGGGAAAGGCTCGAAAGAAGCAGAGCCAAAGCGCAAGAGGGGCCGACCATCGAATGCAGAGCTGGCAGAGAGGAACGCCAAGAAAGCGAAAGGCAAAGCTGCAAAGTCAGTTGCTGTAGCAGAAGCAGCGAGAAGTGCGACTGCAAAACGAATAGGGAAGAAAAAGACACGCAACAATGTCATCGACGATGACGAAAGCGGCGATGACGCAGCGGCAGCAATTGACGTTGATGCAGCAACAGCCGACGATGAGGCAGAAGCAGCACCTTCTTCGACATCCTCTTCGTCGTCCTAGGAGGATGAGGATGCGAGCGGGAGCGGGCCAGAGTCCATGGAACACGATGAACGAGACAAGGACGACACGAGGGAGAGTTCAGACGAAAGCGTGGGGCTGTCCGCTGATGAAGGGGAAGGAGACAGCGGGGAGGAGCAGTAGGAGAGAGTGTCAGCGCTGTCTCCTAACAATCTGATATTTCAATCATAATTTCTAAATTTAGTAAACTTTTCAGAGTTGCAAACAGCTCCCTATGCCAGTATGTTTTTGTTCACTTGTGTGTCCACTTCTAAAGTTGTGAAGTTACAAACTTTTCAAAGTTGCAAACTGATCCCTATGTCAGTATTTTGTTGTTCACTTGCAGTCTGGCACATGTCGTCTGCTTTTTACGGGGTAGTGATCGGTGATCTCATGATGGTGTGGTGCAACGTGTGTGTGCCTGTTATTTGTCGTGTGTCTGTTGTTCCATGTGCACACTACTACACTATGTGTCCACAGGGTTGTTCATGTCACCTGCAGGTACATACTGGCAACCTCTGAATTCCGCATTTTGCTCCTCTGTTTGTCTAACTTCGTAGAGATTCCATAATGGTCCACGCAAATTCGCATTTCAATTTCATTTGTTGGAATCTGTGAGTATGTTTAACTTATTTACTTGTGTGTGTGAACTTTGAAGTAATCCGATGTGTGTGTGTGCGTGTGTGTGTGCGTGCACGTGTGTGTGTGTGTGAGAGAGAGAGAGAGCTGCCCAGCTGATTCGAATCTGAAATGGGTGGGGGAATCACGCAATACACCAGGGTAATTAAAGGGAAAATAATTAAAAAACATCAAGGCGGCGCATCTGGCGCACCACCCCCAGGCATGGCCCGCGCGTGCACGTGCATCAGCGCATGCGCATGTGTAACCCGCGCATGGCGCATGGAGATGCGTGATGCGCGGGCAACTCCATTGCGCGCATGGCGCACCGCACACGCGCACCGCATGGCGCAGCGCACAAATGCGCCGCAAGTATGCCTCACCCATAGCAGATCGACAGATATACAACCAAAAAAAAGAAAAAAAAAAAAGTTGGGGGGTGATCCTCTTCTTTTATTTTATTTTTTTATTTTAGTCTGTTGATTAGGACCAGGAGGAGAGTACAGTTTGGTTGGTTACCTTCCTGCGTTTTCCCTCCCACCCAACCCTTTGTCTGCATTCCCGGTTTAAGTGCCACGTCAGCAACAGTGCCACGTCAGCACAGTGCCACGTCAGCAGCGCCACGTCAGCAGTGCCACATCAGCAGCAATGCCATGTCAGCAGCAGTACCACGTCGTCAACAGTGCCGAGTCAGCAGCCCCACTTCAGCAGGGCCCCGCCACCATGACAGGTTCATCATTGGGCCTGCCAGGCCAATAGGGAGACGAGTCCTTTGACGAGTACCATCAGCGTGTTCTAGCTCATCTCGCACTGACCGAGGCGGAGGTACAGCGCCAGGCTACAGGCTGAAGCAGAGGCAGCAGCTGACAAGCAGTGGCTGCAGGCCGAAGCCAAAGCAGATGCCCAAGCCCTCCGCAAGGAGGCCCAAGAGTTGCTGCAGCGGAGCGAGGCCACCAGCATCGACAAGCTCAAGTTCTTGCATTTTTGAACCATCCGCTGGCCACGACAACGCAACACCAGAAGAGCAGCACAAGGAGTTTTTCTCCAAACTCGTGACCCGGTTGGTTTACACATGACCCAAGGCAACACACCGACATGCGATTGGCTCACAGAATGGCAAAAGATCATGGCAACGCTCGATCTCGAGTTGCCATTTTCGCATCTGTGTCGAGAGTTCTACAACCGGTCGTGTGCTGCCTTGAGCCTCGCACTCGGTGATCGCGAGCAGCACACGACCTTTGCCGAAATTATCGACAAGGCGCGGGAGATCATCAAGACCAACCGGGCTGCTGCACACGAGAAGACAGTGCGTCAGCCAGCCTATGTGGAGAAGGGAAATTTTGGTCCACGTCCACAACATGTCGCTGCAGTCCAACTGGACAACATTGTGGAAGACCCGGCAGCCACCCAAGCATCACGTGAGGGAGATCAGGTGGTCGTCGTCCAGCCGTGAAGCAACAACAACTCCCGTAACAAAGGGAAGGCGAAAACAGCATCGCCGGCAGGAAACGGACAACCGGTACCACGGGTCAAGTTTCACTTGACCGAGGCCGAATACAAATGACACAGCCGGTATGGCTGCTGCTATTGGTGCAACAACACCAGGCACAACACCTCCCAGTGCCCGGATCAAGGCAAGGAGGATGTTCGACCTCGCATCAACTGGGGAAACTCAGTTGCACGGGAGGTGAGGCGACTCCACATCTCACTCCGCCAGATTCGGTCGCCTTGCTAGCGGCATCCTGCACATTTGGGGAGAATGCGGATGTCGCGAGTCCTCGGTTCACTTATGAGGATTACGCTGTCCACTTGGTCCCACCGTTGGACCAACCACTCCACGTGCAATAATCCACCGCATGCACAGTTTCACCACCATCGGCAACCGATTCGGCAGCTTCGCCGCCAACGTTCGGCGGGGATTCGATGTCATGGTCAAGACTTGAGGAGCTCGACCTGTTGACGTTCACGGACTTCCAATGGATCCCCCTTCCCCCTGTCCGGTCAATTGTCGAAACCGCTTGCAACATGCTCATGGCACAATTGCGAGATTACTTGCACACTGTAGTACCAGCTCCGTTGATGGACGCCGGAGTAGAGGTTGTCAACCTTACATTGCAAAAATTGGCCGTGAATTCAAGACACAACGGTACGATGACATCGACGAGCCATTGTTGCACATACGCAATCAGATCGGAGAGGCGGCCTGCAGCGCTTTGATAGATTGCGGAGCTACTCGCAACCACATGAGCCAAGATTTTCTGGCACGCGCTGGCCTGCGGCCACATGTTCGGAGGAAGTCACAGCCCACGCAAGTCACGTTGGCATACGGTCATGCGCACAAGTCAATCGACTGGTGCATTGACTTCGTCCCCGTGTACTTCGCCCCGCATGCAAGCGAGGCCGTGTCCTTCGACATTCTAGACACCAACAAATTTGCAAGCATCTACACCGTTGATCTACGCCGACTACGAGCAACGAAGACTAGCTAAGGAAGCTTCACAAACTTGACCCTCCCACTCGGACTTTGGTCCCTCCCTCCGACAGGCAGCTTCGCCCTCACAGGTAAGCTCGGTCTTTCAAGGAGGGGAACACTGCGCAGCCACACGGGCCTGCAGGGCCCGGCCAGAAGGAAATTTGGCCCTGCAGGCCCTCTGTCGTTTCAGCCTAAGAGCCTGAAAACAAGGGCCTACAGGTCTTGTGTTGTTTCAGCCTAAAAGCCTGAAAACGAGGGCCTACAGGCCCTGTGTCGTTTCAGCCTAAAAGCCTGAAAATGAGGGTCTACAGGCCCTATGTCGTTTCAGCCTAAAGGCCTGAAAACGAGGGCCATTTTCAGGCCCTCATAAAGTCGACCTGCCCTGAAACTTAGGCACCAGGCCAGGGTTTTAGCACAGGCCATTTTGGGCCTGTTTTCAAGACAACCTTTGTTTGAGCTTCAACGCCAGGGTCTGGCACGTTTTGGCATTGGCAAGAGCAGCCTCCTGGACGGGCCAGCACTATATCAGACTGGCCCGCCCTACAGGCTGCAGGTGGTCACGGGGTAGTTCATAGGGACTTCCCAGGCACTTCACGTGCAGGAGGCAGGAGGCAGTCTTCAGGCTTCGGCAGCAGCACTCTGGAGGAGCGCTGCAGTAGTAGTAGTAGCATTAGCAGTAGTCCCCAGCGCTGGGCGCTATTAGGAGCTAGAGTAGCATTGGAGAGAGAGAGAGAGAGAGAGATGGTTGGCGGAGGCCAGGGAGACGTACCTGTTGCGCCATAGCTCCATCTTCGTCTTCGATGTACCTGCAACAAGGCGCCACCTTCACAGGTTAGTACCGGAACTGAGAGAGAGAGAGAGAGAGAGAGAGAGAGAGAGAGAGAGAGAGAGAGAGAGAGAGAGAGAGAGAGAG